CAACAGGTAGACGCTTGTAATGATAACAGAATTTTTGGTAATATATACACTTTAAAAATATTTTGATAGGAAATGGTACGGAACCCTTCGTTCGCGACTTCGATTTTCACTTGGCTGGTTTTATTATGTATCCACGAATCATGGCAACTGAATCTATGAGAATGTCATGTAACAACATTTTCTGTAGTAAATACAACTAATATATGTAGGTAATTGTAAAAATTATGTCATATGGGAATTGTTTTTTTGTGAGGGTTAGCCTGATAAATGAAAATGGAGAGCTTAGTTTAATAGTAAACTTAATATCAGCTTGGAGTCTACCACTTCTTGGACTGGCAACTCTAAAACTGGTTCTATTTCACAATTACGGCTTAAATGTAACGTCTTCCACACGGAAGAGGAAAATAATAAATATATTATATATCCGAAAGGTTATCTGCTTGTGACATTGGATATTAAAAACATATTACTACTTTGTCAGAGATAACAGCTGCCACTGTAGTAGGGTTCCGCAACTCTCATTTAGTGATAAAAGTTGTGGTTATCGATTTTGATAAGAGTATAATTTGGATAAAAATATACATACCTCGTTAGGTTTAATCATAATTAAGGTTGAATATTTCCACACCAATGACGGTAGAATATGGTGAACATAGTAACCCCACCATCTGATTGTACTATACCATATTCTGGGTAATAATATTATTATTATTAATTACCATTTTTTACATGGAATATTAAATAAGTTTATTTTTATGCATTATTCGTTTTCGTTATTTTTTTTATTAGTATGTGTAGGCGAAGATAATCTCATAAAGATATTTACACTGAAGTGTCCCGATTGAGGTTGTTTTAAATCATTCATCAATTGTTGAAATACTGCGAAATCAACTCAATGATGTCTTTTTTTAAAGACTGATATGTTTTCTTTTTTTTACATAATAAATTAGGTATTGTAATGGTCCATATTCCTTAGTGTTTTTGTTTGCGATTTCTGTTTTACTTTAAAATTTAACGTGGTACAAAGAATAAAAATATGTTTCATTAAAACAATGTGACTATCCTTAATGCACTTGGTAAACAATTTTTATTCAATTTTGTAAATAATAATAAGTCTAATATACTAGGCAGTCTTAAATTAATAATTTCCTTATCGAATAATACGCCTATTAAACATTCGTAGTAAGTTTTTAAGCATCTAATTGAATTAATAATTAAGGGATGATGTTTCTTTAGAGTTGTAGTGTACCTGTGTTGACAGGGTTCCAAAGAGATTTTACTGTGTTTATGTGACGTCGTTGTAGTATTCGCTCGCCTTTTTGGCAATTTGAATTGGATACGTGTATTTGTGTAGTATCTTATATGTCGTGTGTGAAATGAAATATAAAACGATAGTTATAAAATGTGGCTTGGAATGTATTTTATTAATTTACGTTATGGAGATGCAATAGAAAACAAATTTGTTCGTTTGTTTTTATTTTTCTCCATTTTTCTGCCTTAAATTTGGTGAACAATTTTTTCCATTAAAATTGACTGATGTGTTTAGCAGAAACTTACTTAAAATGTGATATAAGTGTTTATGTAATTAAATTATTAGGTTTAGTACCAGAAATATTATAAGTACTTTTTTGGAGACGCGACCACAGTCACAAAACAAACAATTATTGTAGTCTACAAGAGGTTACAAATACACGAAGGCATGTTTCCAATAATACATAATGCTATGAAAATAAGTCAACGAAACAATTAAGAAAATCGCAATTTTAGCTATACTATCACTTCTGTTTCTTCAGAGGTCGTACTCTTCCCTTGTTCTCATATGTGCAGCTTGAAATTTACGCCCTGTATCTGGTACAGACATGTAGGTATATTAAATTAAATTGTACTTTCTAGGAGTGGTGTTCAGTGAGTCGCGTCTAGGCAATCCGGTGATAGAAGTGGGACCTTATCGTTTCTTACGGCGTGACGTGTCCCGGGACGGCCGCCGCCGCCGGTGGTCGTGCAGCAAGAACCACATCAGCGGCTGCCGCGCCGCCATCATCACCCTCGATGACGTCATCGTCAAAACCTCCAACGAGCACACACATTGATTCCGGATTTCATGTACATTTAGTTGCTACTTCATCGAGGAATTTAATAGAAACGGGCGTTATCTTGCGGAAGTCCATTGCTAAACTGTGAAATTATAATATCTGACGACTTGCAGACTCAGTGTCTGCAAGACCTGCTGTGCACCGCCCGTACACAGATCCACATTTACAAACGTTTTTTGCAACATTTTTTGTAAAAATCACTCTACATGAGTTTCGTCCCTCCACAGAGCACTGAGTACACGTTAATCTGTGTACGGGCGTTAAGTTAGATAATCATTGTTTCAAGTTATTGTTTCACATTTAATCACGGAGTTTGTTGTATTTTTAGATAAAAGCCAAAGAATAGTCAGTTTATTTGATATTGCTCAGACTCCTTATTAGTTTCTTTTTTCCTTCTCTGGATTTTATGTTGACAATATCTTCTCCCAAAGTGACCTGTCCAATCATATTGCACATCTTAACATGGCATGTATTCTTTTGCTCGTGATATACTTTTGCTTTATATGTAATATTTGTGTGCATGTCTATAAATATAATAAAGTAAGATTTGTATTTTCTTTGTTATCAATATGTTTTATTGATTTTCAACGTAAAATTTTAGAGTAAACTGAAATATGTATTGTTTATATGAGCATTCATTAAGTTTGGGCGTAAAAAGAAACCAGAAAACATAATGAAATCAATGGACCAATGGTCATAGAAATTTAGTAGTACATATTTTTAATGAAAAATGCTTAAAAAATCCTCTTTGCCCCTGGCACTCTGAGATGGGAGTCCCATAAAATGAAAAAAATAGTTATATTTCGGGGTAATTTTATTCTATAAAAAAAGTATTCACATGGCAACTTTGCCAAAATCTTTAAAAATATAATGTAAGCTACATTTTGTTCTTATAGAAAAATTAAATAAAATATTATAAATACAAGATTTATCCAATATAATGATGTACTTCTCTCATATTTCATTATATTTTATTTAGACATAGCCTTACACAAAAGTTAGTATTTTTTTGTTTGCCGTGTGTCTCAATCACCTGCATGAACTTGAAGGTTAAGACTACTTGATCACTTTATATTTGTTTTTTGGTATTAATATCAAAAAAACAAATATTATTGTGTAAAATTTAATTTCATAAAGGTGAACAATGTCACGAATGCTCGTACATTATGTATATATACATGTCAGAAAATCCATTGGTATTTTATTTCGTTTAAAAAATAATAATTTGATGCATGTAAAACCAATATTTTATGTATTTTTTAAGTAATTTGATGTATCAATAACTTGTAGTATGCTTTGCTTTCACCGTAGATTCGTTGTTAATTACTTCTTTTTTCCTTCACATTTTGCAATCGCCTCACTGATTTGTCCCTTTCCCTGTTCCTTACAGTACCCGTGTTCGGCCGGACTCGTTTCGGTAAACTAAAGATTTTGGTAGGCAAGAACAAGTTTTATTCGGCGAGCACAAATGACCGTACCCTCATTAAGCGTTGGAACTGCAGTTATAAGCATTGCAAAGCCAGCTTATTCACTAAAAAGGACATTATCGTTGATACTTATAAAGAACATAACCATTAATGGTTATATTTTAGTTAAATCTAATTGGTTTATTAGATTTCTTATTTATACGAACAATATGTCTTTTTACTTAAGTAAAAGAATTTTGAAGATAGCATTCCACTCCTTTCCTTTATTTTTCGTCTGCCTTTATTGCTTGCTGTGAGAGCTTTTTTTTCCGATCGGGTTCGCGTGCGTATATATGTCTGTCATACATGCAGGCTGCGTTATTTATTAAAGCAAAATGTCAAGTTGATATATCCTAATCCTGTCAAACGATAGGTATGGGGAAACGTATGTAACATTTCCCTATAACATACATATTATAGTTTCGTAATAGCTTCTTGTTTTACGGAGTTGCATATTTTATTATCAGACTTCAAAAATACGTTATCAATTTGCTCCATATCTATTATATAATTTTGTTGGAATTATACATTATTCATATATGTAAATCTATATATATGGGCTTCAGTTCACTGATTTGCAAATTTTACATAGGAAACAAAACAAGTTTCATTAAATAACGTTTCAGTATTTTTGAAGATATTGAGTATCTGTATAATTCAGTATTTCTAAGTATATTGAGAATTTGGTAAGTCATGCCGTTAGATTTGAAACTCTCGAAATTTCTATCTGTCTACGTCATGGTCTGCGTCTTAATCGTATGCCGAGCGGCAGCTTAGATCACATCATGCGTGCGGGATTGTCTGCATGCACTAGATAGAAAAAAATCAATATTGTTATATAGATATAAGTTTTTAATTACATAGTAAGCGAATTTTGTTAATAAAGACAATATTTTGTTAGTCTATTTGGAAATTGCCATGGTTGTGTTAAATACGTTAGTTAGTTAATAGTTTTACCTTTAATTTTGACTGGTTAACGTTCCTATTTGATAGATAATAATTAAAAAGACTGGAAGGCGCATATTAAATAAAGTTTCTATCGTTAAGTTTTTCTATCAGGTTTATAAATCTTTGTCTTACATTGCTATAGAACATTCGCACTGTCTGTGAAGTCGGCTACTTTATTTAAGAGGCTGATTTTGTTAGTTAATATTGGATATATATTATTACAGGTTATAATGTTCTATTCAGCTTTATCTGTTATATTTATATAAAGATTTCAGTGTATAAGAATAGACTAATTAAAAAAGCATTTTATTGTATTAGGAGCATAATTATACTGCTCTCTTAATTATCCTTAACAATTTTGATTTTCTTTTAACTTATGTTTTGTATTTGATTGCATATTTGTTTTTTTTTCTTGTTAATGTTAAGTGACTTCTACGTCATTAAGTTTTTGGCTAAGGTCATGTTTTCTAAATGTTTATTATTCATTCAATTTATGCCGATTAGATGTAAGTAAAGAAGCAGTACATATTTTTCGAATAAATATTTTTTGTGAACCCTTCAAATGAGTTTTATTTATAGACTAATGATTCGTTTACATTTATAACATGATTAATTTACATTTATGAGAGGCTGGTAACTGATTGACAAGTGAAAAGATCAGTTACTTGCCCAAGGGCCTTAATGCTTATCCTTATGTCTAAATGTAAGCTTTTGCTCCTTTTTTTGTAAAGTAAAATAAGTCTGAAAGTAGGAAGTAATTTCTCAATATGTCTTAAGACATGTGAGTCTTAAGTGTGAACGAGATTAAATCAACAGGTCACTCAATAAAGGTATAAATGGAAATATAAGAGCTTTATTTTCAGTAAAATACTTTATTCATCACTCTCGGCCTCTTAACCACCACCAAACAAAAATTCATAATACAATGGGCGCTCTATTGCGGTGCGAAAACAAACTATCATATTTTCTTATACAATATTATATAAGTATTTAAGTATGGATTAAAATGTGAAGCGGTTTGATGGTAAAATTGTATTTTGTGTTTTTATTTCTCAGGAGCGTCTAAAATCGGTAGCAGGATAATTTATCACGAGGGTCATAAGTTTTACTTGCATAGTAGTAAAACTAACAATACTCAAAAGTTATGTTGGAGGTGTGCCTACAGGAAAACAAAGTGTCGTGTGTTAGTGTACACTGTCAGCGGGAGTGTTGCTGTGATGAAAAACGAACATAATCATTGAAATTGTTATAGAATATATATTGGATTATAAAAATTATAAGTTAATTATTGTACATTTATATCGATATTCAAATATAAGTAACGAATAAAGTACTTATATTTTCATTTATACGTTACGAGGTGCGCTTTTAATTTGTATTAAAATATAGACAAGAGAGTATATTACAACAAGCTGAGTCAGTTTTAGAAGTTTTTCATGATTTGAAAAAAAGCAAAACGAAGTTATGTGTTTGGAATTCTTTAAGTATTTTAGTGAAATTCAAATTTTGGCGGAACTGTGAGTATTTTTATTACAAAGAAAAATAAAACAACCCAATAAAGACAATCAATCTCATTTTCTGAGTTCTGTTGAATAAAGAACTCGATGAGAATAAAAAAGCTATGCTACAACACTAAAACGGAGGCATGCAGAGAAATGAATTGAGTTGTCGGTTTAGTCCTTCTAATTAGAAATCATCTTCTCGATTTTTCATTTCAGTTTATTTGGATTATATTTATTTTGTTTACCATCGACTCGTTATCCTCCTCTTAAGTCCTAAGTGTAAGTTATAGTCCTAAAAGAAGTATAGTCCTAAGTTTTATGTGCTCTTATTTTTGTTATTTCGCTCTATTATAATAAAAAATATTTTTAATTTATATACCGTTACCATATACCGTTTTTCTTTTCAGACATTCGCGTTGTAGCAAAATTGAATGGTTCAAAAATATTATGTATCGACCAATACAGGTACGGTAAACACAGTGGTTCGAGGGGGCCGAAAGGAAGATGGATCTGCACCAGTAAGTCGAACGGTTGCCGGGCTACAGTCATCACATTCGAGAACACAATAGTAAAGACCTTCAACTCTCATAACCATTAGCGATTAAAGTACTCGACAACGTTTTATCTACACCCAAATGTCGGGTCGTGAGTGAGAGATCCCGTGGGCGCACCTGTAGATGAAACGATCTCGAGTTCGTCGTGCTACGCGCCTAAAGCGTTCTCGAGTTTATCATGGTACGCGTGCTGTTACTTGATAGAAACAGAGTTTGATATTGCGATACTGATTATTATCGAAGAAATGATATTATTGCAAGAATGGGTCCAAAACATAGAATATAATATAAAATAATTTTGTGAAAAGGTGTAGCAAGAAGCCAATAATTGTTAACTATATTAAATACCCTTGTTTAATATTACATTTTTATTGTTGTATATCATAATCAGATATATATTTTGATTAAATGTATATGAAGTACTTTATGTTCAACGTTGTTTTATTGAACACTGTTCGTGTTTTACAATTTTAAAATAATTACAGGCAATCGTTCAATATATTTATGCATAAAAAGGAATAATTTACAAAATTAATTGATTGTGAAGAGATTTTTACCAGTAATATACAGAACACGTCTAATTTTAGCCATTGGCCGATTAAAGCCATACAATCGGGAAGAAGTAAGAAGTTCGTGTATTTAAAATGTCGTCTTTGTACTCAAAGGAAATTACGGAGAGAAACGTGCTTCCTGTTCAAAGGTTGTGACGATATTCGACCGCTATGGGTCACATGTTTTGAATATTAATCATTCAAAACATGTGACCCATTGCGGAACATTAATATATGTTGTTTTTTATTAAGAATATATTTTAGTCTATAATCTCGATTTAATCTTAAGCTAAACAATTTTATCCTCATCGAATGTGCCGAAGTATTGTTGAGGAACAGAGGTTTTAAAAGGAGAATATATAAAACCAGGAAACCTATTTTATATAATAATAATCTGAAATTAGTTTGATGCGGTTATATATTATTATATTTACAGGTATAATGAGCCATTCGTTGCCTCGTAATATTTTTGTTATACGCATCCATAACATAAGATATTATGATATTTTTACAAACAATATTTTATATTATGAAATATAAAATTTGAACTAGATTGTGTTAAATTTTGTAATTCGTTCAAACTAACGGGATAACGGCTATGGTCAGTGCGTGAAATAGTCATTATTTATAAAAGTAATTTCAAATAAGTCTATAGAAAGTTTTTATAGTTATAAAATAATTTAAAATTAATTACGGAGAAATATGAACAGATGCTTCCAGTAATGTTTTGTATATTAAGAGAGTTAACCTTTTTGGTTCGTGTCGTACAAAATGAAAAATCCTCCATGTCGAGCTAATGATTATTTGTATTTTTAGGATTGCACAGTATTGAGCTACATCTTCATAAATTCTCTATGGGTGATGTGGCGAGGAAATGCGTTAGCTGTTTGCTGAAGTTGAAGCAATCGAATCGTAGTGGTGTTGTTGAAGAAACGGCGACAATGTGTGTAGAGTGTAAACGGACCATGTGCGCGACATGTTTTTACGAGAAACATACTCTATTGTAACACTTATAGATGAAGTAATGAGATCTATATTTGCATTTGTTATAACAGCAGTAGCATATATTTTGTTTGTGGTGATGGCATATATATGATTATTAAATATTTTATATCGTAATAGCTTTTTTTTTGTCATAAAGTAGATTATTTTTATGTTGTTAGCATCTATTAGATCGGCGAAAAACTAGACCATAGTTTTTGTGAGTTCAACAAAATATAGAGAAATAAATGGTGGTGATTTTGCTTAGGGGCCGTCCAAAAATTACGTCACACAAAATTCATGATTTTTAAATAATAAATAAATTAATACATACATGTTTTCCATACAAACGTAATTTGGACAAGCCATTTCATGACCAAGACAAAATTTATTTTAAAAGCACAATAACAAACATCAGTGGAAACATGAAAGATAATAAAGAATAATGAAGTATGTATCTATTTCGTTTGCTGTTATGTTATGTATTTTTTTATGAGAGAATAAGTCAAAGTGTAAAATTATTATGCACGAGAGCCTTATTAGTTCTGGTAGATAAGTGTTTAAATATCTTCTTCTTGGGACTGTTAATTGATAGTTTAATAGTAATATTATGAAATTTTGACAAGTTTTAATTTTAAACTTTTTACGTTAGGTGTATTTTTCGTGGACACTGGCCGGGGCACGCAGGCTCTGTGTGTGGGCCAGTACCGCTACAACCGTCACAGCTCTAGCCGCGGCCCCAAGAGTCGATGGAATTGCGTTAAGGCTAAGTTTGGCTGTAAGTCTACAATAGTAATGTTCGATGATGTCATTTTAAAGACAATGCATCACCACAATCATTAAATATCTGTTAATAAAACTATTTTGATAGATTTCTTTGAAATTATTAATAAAATCGCGTCCCCGCAATCGATCTCCAGCCACGTTTTTAGTTTTTGGTATGTATTCAATTTTAAATCTTACAAAATTAACAAAAATGTCAACATATTACAAATGCTTTAGTTAAGCTTGAAAAGTTTACCGAAAATGAAATAGGAAATTTTCTTTATCAGTTTACTGAAAGCTAGCTGCCAGATAAGTTAATGTCGGTTTGAAAGAATTTACATTAACTAAAGATTTTTATATCTTTTAGGTGCATTTTTTTCTACTACTCGTTATGGCAACCCTGTCATCACAGTTGGCAATTACCGCTACAACAAGTGGAGTGGTAGCAGAGGTCCCCACATCAGATGGACTTGTGTCAAGAACCAGATGGGTTGCCGTGCCACTATCACCACGCTCGAAAACGTAATTGTTAGGTCGAAGAACCAACATATACACCAGTGAGGTTCAGCTACAATGTGCCATAGTCATATTGAAAACTCTTTGGCTAATAAAGTTCGGGCGTGTGCGTTTTTCGCCTTATAGACATAATCTTTATCGAAGTCGCAAATAGTTAATATTCTGACATTTTACGCTTTAAATATTTATTATTTTAATTGTAAATGCGGATGTGCGCATTTTTTTGCTTATAATATTATTGATATAAAATATAGTTCTTACATGATACACTTCAAATCAATTCAATCGTTTTAGTGTCATTCAAATAATGAAAGAGTTTCAAGTGATGAAATAAATATACATTAAAAATAAAAAAACATCAATAGGTATGACTCGCTTTAAATTCGCTTTCACGGCTGATGTTCCGTGGGAAAGTTGTTTGTTTCTGTTTTAATCAACAAAATTAATAGGTCAAATGAAAAGGTGTCAATATATTCGCTCGTGCGAGGTGATGTACAGTGAACTGCATGTCAGAATAAAAAACCGTCAAAATTCTCCATTTGATTTTAAAAATTTTATCATTTTTGATAGAATTGCAAATTAAGTCTGGTAATTTGACATATTGTGGTAATCTGACGTGCATGCACTACAATAATTTTAATAAATTTAATTCAATAAAGTCTAAATTATTAGAAAACTTTAAAGTTGAGTTTTCTAATCTAAGTAAGAAAACCAATTGAATTCCTGACAATTTATAAGAAGAAAATAATTAAAAAAATAATAATTTTACTGTCAGGAGTGGTATGTGACTGATTTTTATGGATGTCTTATTGAATTTTATATCCTCGCTAATAATTTACTCAATAGTACCAATAGTGTATAAATGTTTTTTAACACACAGTAATATTTATTTCTTTTTAATTTTATTCGTTATTTTGTTAATGTTTATATTTATTTAATTCGAAAGAGTCGCAGCTAAGTTCTGAATATGACTTTAAAATTAACCGCCTTCTAATTTAAGTCTTAAGTATTTATGTAACTAGTGGGATCTCTGCCTTTTCACTGAAAATTGTTTGGCCGATTTATCACTTGGCCGATGGCATTTCGCAGCATTTTATTCCGCGGATTAATTATTTCCCAACTTACCTTATTATTATAATTTTGTTTTATTTCCCAATCGCACCTTTATCAACTTTACTTCTATTTTTTATTATAGCACTTTTCAAAATGTCAATTTTCAAATAGTACATTTTTTTACTTTGCGTAATTTTCATAAAGTTGTTTATTGTTTACGTAATGTTGTATGACATAAGTCAATTCTGGTTTGCTCACATACATGCTCTTGCTGCTTTTGGAAATGCATTACGCATGTCCGCTCCCTCCTAGCGTGGGGTAGGGTTATCGTTGTCTAAGCTTTTTTTTATTAGTAGTGTAATTGTATATGTTTAGATGTTAGATGTAGCTTGTATTGTGCGTAAGTAAATTTGTATAGTTGAGTGAGTGTGCAACCTGTTGAGCAGGCTTTCTCCGTCCCGGCGTCCCGGGATCGTTGTCTAACCTAACCTAACCTATTTATTTCTGTTGCTGTACTTATTATAAAATTATTGTACACAAATCTACATACTTAGAGGAAAAATTGTTTGTGCATTGCTCCCAATTTTAATTTCTTGTATTAAAAATGTTCGTAAAAATCACTTTATTATTACATTATATCAATGTATGATAAGGAACTGTTATTATTATTATTCAAACGTTTTGTGTCAATATTATAATAAGCTACATTTCTCTTAATAATTCTACCAAAGGAAAATGTCATATAAAAATTTGTTAAGCGTTCGATGTGATATACGGCCAAACAATTTTCGGTGAAAAGGCAGGATACCAAACTAGTGTTTATTCATCTTGGCAGTATTATTTTATATAAACATATTTTGTATGTAAAATGTTCAAATACTTTAAGTATCTCATTGTTGAACATTAATAAAAATGACAAATTGTTTTTAATTTATGCTATTGCTATTAATATTAAAATTCTTTGTTTAGTGCTATTAAATCGAACAAGATATTTATGTCAACGTATGCCAACTTACATCTATTATTAGTTTAAATTATGTGACGGAGTTCTCTATTATTATGTAATGACTTTACTTTATTGGTTTGTCTTACGTATGTCAATAAATAGATTAAATAATATTTTTTTTTGTAATGTTCACTGTATATTTAAATTATAAAAATTTCTGTGATTACTTGTAGATTGCTAGATATCATTATCTTGAACGCCGTGACCGTCCTGATTGACCGCAATGTTATAATTCAAAATTGCAGTTCTTGGTGTATTAAATCACAGATGCTATAAATTACTTCTCAAATCTTGGAAACTAGCCATTTAAGCTAATTTCGGATTGTCAGTTATGCATTTAGTAAATATTTAAACAATGAACCGTTACTTTGAAAAAATAAAACGGTACATAGCAAAGTTTTACAGTCAGGCTTGATAGTAAAAAATGAAAGTATCTTTAATAAAATTTATTTTCTTGTGTTTTTATTTTTTTATTATACGTAATAATTTCATTAATATATTTGTTCCGATTTTAGATAATTATTATTATAAAGCATGCGACCAGAGTAACAAAACATATAATTAATGTTTATTAACAACAAAATTGATTTTTAGATGATTCATATCACGATGCAGTGGTGGAAGCTGTATTTACTAAATCCCGGTATGGTAAGCCGGTGATACAAATTGGTGATTACCGTTTCAACAAGTGGTCCGGCAACAAGGGGGCTCGCGCGAGATGGGTGTGCGCCAAGACTTGCTACGGTTGCCGTGCTAAGATTATCACTGTAAACGATGAGATTATCCAATTGTACAACGATCATAATCACTAGTCTCCTTTATCGGTGTGCTGTACCATTTGAACAGTCTTATAAGAACCAAACCGATCAAGATTCTGAAATATTTTATGCGTTAAATAATTAATGTGTTGTTCGAGTTCGTGTTTGTGTACTAGGGCTTCCGTTCCAGCAGCTTATATACGATCTCAGTATTTCTAAGACTGAACTTTTCAATCCCGCTTGATTTCAGTTTTTGCGAGACCCCCAATTATATTAGTTATCAAAACAAATGATCAATCAATTTAATGACGAAGCGTCTGGAAGTCCAACTGTGTACAAATACGATTCAATCAACAGTTTTACTTAAATTGATTTTTAAAAACAGAAATGTTTTATATGATATCGGTTATATAGAAGTGAGAATGCTCGGATATAAAACGATACACACATGTGTATCTAGTTAAATATTAATCAACACCAGCACGCGTAGCATGACAAACTCGAGAAACGCTATGTCTACACTCAAATGTCACTTTCTCGGGTCAAGAGTGAGATATCGTATAGGCGCACCCGAGAAAAGTGACATTTAGGTGTAGACAAAACGTTCTCGAGTTCGTCATGCTACGCGTACAGGTAATATGTGAGGCAGTGAATAATTATGTTAGTAACGACCTGTGCTATTTTTTTAATGTGCATCTTTAAAATTTATTTTATATGTAGTCTGCCTTAGTAATTTAATTTGTAAGATTTTTTGTAGTTCGTGTTCGAACTGCAGACTTTCCAGCTACATTTTTGTCAGTTGTAACTTGACGATGTAACTATAGTCTTTTTATTTTAACATATTCGATTAAGTGTCGGTGCAAATCTGACGGAAGAAACTTCGAGCGTGTCACGGGTGTATGCTTTAGTACGTGAGCTATCTTTCCGAAGTCTTTCTTGAATGTGGAAGGCTGAATTTCATATCATTTAATTGTCAGTTCAGACATTCCGTCGCTACCGTTGGTTCCGTCAATATGCACCGATATCTACAGAATCAATGTGATTTATATGTGCTGTCCTGGATTATTTTAAGATTTAAGTAACTTTGGTATTACGATCATGTAATGTATTTTTATTACGCTTTTGAATTGTTTCGGCTTTTATTAATTTAGTTAATTATAATTTTCATGACATTCGACTGCATGTTTTCGAAATTAAATCATATATGTATTAAAGTAACTATTAAATGTTGTTTAATTTAATTTTATGATAATTCAATATTTGGTTGTTTGTTGGGTTGGTGCTGTATGGGCTTTAATAAAGATGACATATTGGTCAAACGGATGATAAGCAGTGTCCAATCCGGTCGGTCTACGATTGTGTAGGTGAAGTTTTCTAAAGGTCAGTTTTCAAAAGACATTTTATTTCCATTCTAGGTTACATCTAAACTCATTAACGTCCATCACCACCGCCATCTATCGATATCGAGAAGTAATGATAATATACTTATCCCTACTTCTCGACGGCGTGTTATTGCACATCCACTATCTTTCTCGCTCTGGCACATAGTAGTTTTGAACGACAAAATAGTAAAGGCGATACCGGTCTGTGTGAGCTAAAAATGTTGCATAATTCAAAAGTATTTTTATCAAGTTAATTTTATTAAAGTTTTTTATTTCTTCGACTTTACCAGATTTTACTAAATCCTAAGAGTTCTACATAGCTGTTTTAAATTTCTTTATTTTTCAGACCCAATTTTCGTATTATCTAGTCGAGGGAAACCCATGATTAAGATAGGACAATATAGATTTGCCAAGTGGAGTGGTAGCAGAGGCCCCAAGGCTCGTTGGATATGTATCAAGGACCATAGTGGATGTCGCGCCAAACTTATCACCATAGACGAAATCATAGTCCAATATTCGAACGAGCACAATCATTGAGCGTCTGTCTATTTTAACACTATGTATTTATTTTAAATTTAAGACGATTTTAGGTTATGTAGTTTTATTTCCCAGATAGGTAATTATGACATTTTTGTTTTGGATTTTCTTAATAACGCTTTGGTATTATTGCTTCGTATATCCGTATCATTTATCTCAGATTTTATGATGTTTTTAAATTATTTGGTTAGATTTCTTAGTGTCATTGTCTTTGCATATCGCTCATATACCATCAAAGTATTCGCTGTGATGTATTATATGTTCGTATCGTGTATTCATTAGTTTTCCTTCATCTACAGTCCTAATTTTCCCTAGTTATCAATATCAGGACGTGAAAAACTACCTAAAGTAGGTACATTTTATTTACACTTCCGTGATATTTTTTATTGACAATTGTTATCGTCTGTGGTTACCGAAGCAGTATATTTTGTATATTAAAGAAATATATATAAATTATGGTCACAATAAGTTTCACGGATATATTCTTTATATATATTTATATCTGGAACATTTATGACGCTACTTAATTAATCATAACTTTATTTTGGGTCAACTATATTTGCTTGTCGGTTTCTATAAAGAAAATTGGTTTGAGTGTTTTATAATGAGTAGCTCGGTGGCATAGTGGATAAGCCGCGCAGCCCGCGATCGTTATTGTTAAGCAGCTTTCGCAAGGGTCGGTCACGGGATGGGTGACCAAAATATATTATGACGAGCTACTATGTCCTTCGGAAGGCTCGATAAGCCGTTGGTCCTGGCTGTATTTGCAGTCCTTAATACCCTCCAATCCGTATCAGGCCAGTGGGGAGGGTCATGGCTGATCCTCCTTAACCATCTATGATGATGATAATAAACCGACATTTACCGTCTCTCGATTCGGAAATCCGGTAATGGAGATTGGCCCATCTCGCTTTAACAAAACAAAACGGAGCCGAGTACGGATGCAACTGAAATGGCGCTGCGTTGAAAAGCTAATCATCGCGAGACGTAAATAATCATAGTGAACTATCGTATAATGTTTCACAATTTTGAAGTAGTTTATGATTTTGACAGATATTTATCTGTCAAAATCAAATAGTAGTTCACGATCACGTTTCAAATAATATTTTGTTTATTCTATATTGCGAAATCACAGCAAATGTTGGATTTAATACCGGAGACATTGTCTACCAGTCAACTGTTGAGGATATACAGAACGTTTATAAGGCGTTTGTAAGGCTCCACAATAAGTGGAGAATAAATAAATTCAAGATTTTCTTAAAACAAGTAGGTCTATAAAAGAAAGTGCTTGTTTCAAAATGATGCAACCATAATCATGTTTTAATACGACGTCTTTACATAAAAGTGTTTAAAAAATGAGTGTTTTTAATATTTTGTTTGTTATTTACAATGTTTTGACAGTTTACAGATACGATATGTCTCCTTATGGAAATAAGATCCTGATTGCAGAGGGGATGCGCTATTACAAACAAAAAACTAGAGATAACATCACTAGATGGACGTGTGCAGGAAAGAAACGATATAAATGCAAATGTTATATCACTACGATAGATGACGTGGTGGTTAAAGTGAACCAATCCAATCATAATCATACCTGATGAAGAAAACCGGCCTCAATGAAGTTAATGCTAACGTTTGAAAACGGCATCTGAAGGGAGTTTCAATTGACGGCATTTTGTCATTTTATTATCTACCTGCATGCGAAGCATGATCAACTTGAGAAATGATTTAACTACACCAAATGTCACTTTCGCGGGTCGAGAGTGAGATATCGTACGGGCGCACCCGATAAAAGTGACATTTGGTAGATATAACGTTCGACTCGAGTTCGTTATGCTACGTGAGCATGGCGTCGATATTATTAGCACAATGATGCCTTATATAAATCAACGGTGATATTATATTATTATTATTTGCGATTTAGTAACAATTTCTGTGTACAAAAGATACGTAATTGAAACGAAAGTGGATAGTCATAATTGTGCTCTAACGTTTATTGAAAGGCCCTGGTTTATATACTAGAAAATGTTATATTTATGCAATCAAATTTGAATGTCATTGTCAATTTTTTAAAGATTAAAATAGTAACAATTGAAGTAGGTTAGGTATTAAACGACAGTTTGGACGTGCTGTTGACAGCAAATTTTATTTTTAATATTATTATGATTTATTTTTAAGTCTTTCAACTGAATTGTATCTGGTCAATATTTTTTTCTTTTTAATTTATTTTTATTTACTTCATCACAAGGTAACGAAAATACTGCTTCTAAACAGTTAAGAACCAATATTTTTGTTACTTTATTTGTATTTTTAATAAAATGAAATTTAAATACTCCATTATAAGCTTGCTTGATTAATTATTTTTTTAACTGGATTTCATTGCAAATGTTACCTTAGCGGTGAATCCAGGAAAACTTAGGGCAAATCTGATGAAAGATCAGTCAAGTGTCTCACCAAGGTATGCTTTAGTGAGATCAGGTATTTCGTCGTTATATTCATATCATATCACACATTTGTCAATTCTGATGTTCCGCGTCAATTAAATGCACCAAAAGGGAAAATTGACTAATTTCTATAACTCTTTATAACATTTTTTATAAAAAAACTCACATAAGTACAGTTAAAAAAAAAAATCGAAACAAAATACTCGTAATTACAGTTACACGTTATTTTATTGCAATCATGTATTTATTTGTAAAACTCTGTTTTTGTGAAGCAATAAAGTATTATTGTGTTTAAAAAAAATACTTAAAAACAGCAAATAATTATGTAATTATACCATAAAGTTAATTTTTTGATTAATATCATTTGATTATTGTAAAACTTTCTAAGATAACCATTTATACAAATTGCTTCACAAATATATTATTTTATTTATTTATTATAGGAAAGACGATGGAAACGTTTGTATAGGAAACGAGTAATGAAGGACGAACTATTTGAGATCTTAAATCAAGCCGAGTCAGTAACAGACTCCGGAAATAGAGGCAAATTAACTCTTAACCGCTCTAAATTTAATTGTAAAAACGTTACCACGACTACTGATTTATGACTGACCTTGTGTGGAGTACGGTCAGTTTTCGGCGCTAGTACTAATGCTGGGTACTCACTCGCCCGTCTACTGACACCGTGTTA